ATATGGAGGCCAGAAGAGGTCACTGAATTCCCTGGATCTGGAGTTGGTTATGAGCCAACCCACAGGGGTGATGGGAACCCAACTTGGGTCCTTTGGGACAGTAGGAGGCACACTTAACAAATGAACCATCTCTCCAGCCCCTAAATTTTTTATTTATTGTGTAGGGGAGCATGTGCCACAGCTGAGCATGTGGAAGTCAGAAAACTCTGTTCTCTCTTACTTTCAGGTGGACTCTGGAGATTAAACTGCTCAGGGAGCTGGAGAGACAGCTCAGTGGTTAAGAACACTTGCTGCTCTTGCAGAGCTTTGGTTCCCACCACCCACATGGTGACCAACAATCATCAGTAACTTCAGTTTTCACCTCTTCTCACCACCATAGATACCAGCACACAGGCAAAATACACACACACACACACACACACACACACACACACACACCCCATATCAAAACTCAGGTCATTAGGCTTACAGGACAAGCACTTGGACCTGGAAAGCCTTCTCATCAGCCCAGGTGTTTATTTTATAAAGACCTATTGGCTCTGTTAGACTTTGTAGGCCACCCTCTCTGTTGCTGTTCCTGTTGTTATATCATGAAAGCAGCCACAGATAAGAGTTAATGACTAGGGGCTGGAGAATGGCTTAGTGGTTAAAGGCATTGACTACTCATCCAGAGGTTCCAGGGTCAATTCCCAGAGCTCTCATGGTAGTTTTTAACTGTCTATAATGGCATCTGAATGCCCCCTTCTGGTGTGCAGACATACATTAGAAAAACTGCTCATATATATAAAAGACTGACCAGATTTAGTCATACTTTAATGTTACTTTCATAAATAGGTAGCTTAGTTAACTTGTGGTAAGTCTGTATGTTTGTGTCTCTGTCTCTCTCTCTCTCTCTCTGAGACAGGGTCTCCTGTAGCCCAAGCTGGCCTTGAACTCCTAATCTTTCTGCCTCCATTTCCCAAGTGCTGCGATTATAGGTGTGCAACACCATGGCCATTTGTGGAGTTCTGGGGACTGAGCCCAGGGCTTTGAGTATGTTAGCCAAGCACTCTACTGCTGAGTTACATCTCTTACCAGAAACGCTAAACAAAACATGCATCTAAAAAAAAAAAGGTTTTGAAAGACTTCCCAACATATCTAACTAATCAACGAAAATTATTAGCATTCTTTCACATGGATGAGATATATTAAAACATTCTGAGGACTCAGGATACACATTACCTGATGGAGTGAGTGTTCTGTCACTACAGCCTTGGTCTCTACATCCCAAATCTTCACAGTCCCATCATCTGAGCTGGTGGCACAGAGGTTGTATTGTCCAGGGTGATGAGAAAAAGTGAAACCAGATACTCTTTCAGTGTGTCCCACCAACTCTCCTACAACTGCAAGTAAAACCAGACTTGGTTAACTAAACCACTATCCAGACAATAAGACTGCATGTTGCAGGACGAACAACAAGCAGAGAAATAAGAGTCACTTACCACACGTAACAGAATCATCCATAGACTAATAACAGAAACGCTGGGTGCCAGCGGTGTCCGTACTTAGGGACTTCGTACAGGTTTATTTTCTTTGAATCTCAGTATTCTCATCTATAAAGCAATATTCCTGTCCTTTGTCGAGCCAGGTTTACAGGCTGAGGCCCAGTCCTAGCTCACCGGTGAGCGAGAATGCCATACTTACTTAATTTTGCCATAGGTCATAAGGAATATAATAAGTTGGTATTTCCAACCACAAGGCAAAAATAAATAAATGAGTAAATAATAAATCAATCCTTAGCTTTTGTTTGTTTCGTTTTCTTTTGAGTTAGGATCTTGCTATGGAGCCATTGGTTGGCTGGAACTCACTTTACGTAGACTAGGCTGCCTTTGAACGCGCGGCAATCCTCCAGCCTCAGCCTCCCAAGTAGTTGGAATCAGACAAGCATCATCGCGTCTGGCGCAAATTCAGACTCACCTCACTCATCATACAGAAACCAGTATCTCGTAATTGCCCAGCGGGAACAGGGAACAGAGAACAGAGAACAGCCCCCACCCCAGGGGGCGTCCTAGGTGCCGGTGGGCCCTGGCGAAGTAGGAAGGCCAGGAGCGCCCTAAACGCCGGGTCTAGGCTTGGTCAGCCCCTCCAAGCGTGAAGGGCCACGTGCGCGCGCCGCGGGACTCGGCGACTTACAGACTCCCTAGAGGGTGGCGGGAAGGACTGCGCCGGCCCGTGGGGGGCTCACCTCGAAACGGGGGCGCCCCTGGGCTCGCGCCCGCGCCCGGGCCCACGCGGACGAGGAAGACGGAGGTCCGCGCAGCGAAGCCAAAGATGCCTCCGGGCGCCGCGTCGCTGCAGCGCGAGCAGTACCAGTTGGGAGACGGCGGTAGCGTCCGCGGCTCTGGTTTCATCTCCGCGGCCGCCCAGGCTCAGCTGAGGAGCTCCGGTACGGTGGTTCGCAACCGCGGCGTGTAGCGGGAGGGGGCGGGATCTAGTTAAACCCCGCCCCTGAAGGCGGGCGCTACGGAGCGCGCTGAGGCCCAAGCCGCGCCTCTCACTCGCGAGCGCTGCCTGGGACTGAGTTCTAGGCCCCAAGGTTAAGCATTTTCCTTAATTACGTATTTAGACCCGTGGAACCCGCCAACCAGCCACTGAGGCTTAATCTTCAAGGCAGTTCAGTATCCAATTCAGTTGTTTTTTTTTTTTTAACTCTACGTAGCGGCGTACTTTGCCAGTTTTGGGAGGTGTTTTAAAGACAGTTGCAAGAGTATATTTAACTAAAATATTAAAAGAATGAATCTGAGTTCTGGCTCAGCACTCGGGAAGCTGAGGCAGGAGGATTGCCATGAGCTCCAGGCCAGGCAGCCTGGCTATAGTGTGAGAGCCTGTCAAAATAAATAAAACGAGTCAGGAATCATTAAAGGCAGAAAGAGATTCTGTAGTTGGGTGGGAATTCTGATTCTGGGCTCTTGATATTCAAAGATTAAAGAGCAGAGGTTTGACATTCTGCCTCCTGCTTGATGGAGTACCAATGCTGTGAGGAGAACTGGTTAGTGGCGTGGAGGAAAAAAAGAACTGGATTCTGCTTACAGCTCAAACACGAGCAACTTGCTCAGATTCGACTGTACTTCTGTATTGCTGTTTGCTCTTCCTGAATGTGGCATATGAAAACTTGCAATGGCTATCATTGATAGAGAGCCCTTCCCTATGCTAACTTAGCCTAAGGGCACTAAATTCAGAGTCACCTGGCTCCACATTGATCACTAGTTTTGCCAGGAGCTTAAGTCCTATCTGTCTCAGATGTTTCTCACTTAATAATACTTGCCTTGCTGGATTGCTGGATGAAATAAGGAGATTTAGTAAAATACTGGTATATATGGTGGTAAATGCACACAAATGTATTAGCTCATCTCTTATTCAACATTGAGGTTAGTAGAAGCACATTATGTTGGTCTTTATTATTTATTTATTTATTTATTTATTTATTTATGTGCGTGCATGTGTTCATATTTCATAATGTGTGTATGGAGGTCAGAGGTCAAGGAGTTGGTTTTCTCCTTCCATGATATGGGACCTAGAGACTGCATTCATCTTGACAGCTTCTTAACCATCGGAACCATCTCAATGACACCCTACCACATTGGTTTGTTTTTGTTTTGTTTTTGAAACAGGATCTCACTATACAGCTCTGACTAGCCTGGAATTTGCTTTGTAGACCAGACTGTGTTGAGTTCACAGAAATCTACCTGCTTCTGCTCTCCTGAGTGCTGGGATTAAAAGTGTGGGCCACCATACCAGGCAATTTGATTTTTGAAAGAGTTTTCTCAGTAATGTTCACAAATTTGTGTAAATAGAGTGATCTTTCTTTCCTTCCTCTTTCTCTCTTCTTTTTTTTCCTTCAAGATAGAGTCTCATTGTGAAGTTCAGAATGGCCTGGAATTTGCTGCCTAGGGTGACCTCAAACTTGTGGAGATCTTCTTGCTTCAGCCTCTCATATGCTGGGATTACAAACAAATGCCACTACACCTGGCTGCTGCTGCTGCTGCTGCTTTTTCTCCTCCTCCTCCTCCTCTTCCTCCTCTTCCTCCTCCTCCTCCTCCTTCCCTCCTCCTCCTCCTTTTTCTTCTTCTTTTTTGAAACAAAGCCTGGTTTGTGTATCACGGTGATTCTTAACACCAATCTCCTACATGCTGATGTTACAGTCATTTCTAACAAGAACTCTGAGGCCCACTGAGGACACAGTTTGATGAGCCAGTCTGCCTCCATCTTAGGTTTAAAAGCTATCTTATAGTAAAGACAAACTAGGTTCATTCCTGTTTATGATTAGAACTCTGCTTCTCACTGATTGGGCTATGTCCCACCTGTACTCTTAACTATAAATGGTTCTATGCATTCTAGGAAATGGCAACTGTGTCTTTGTTTCAAAACCATCTTGTTAATTCTACCTTTGTTTCAAAAGGTTTTTATGACTACCTTCTTAGGACCACCTTGCCATCATGACTTTGTTTCAGGAGGTCGTTATGACTAACTTATTGGTCTGCTTCTGTTTATAGGACTAATTTATTAGTCTGTTCCTGTTATAATTCTGCTCCTGTAACCCCGTCTGGTTAATGTGGAAACCCCCAACCCCTGAGCTATAAAAACCTTGTCTTCCTGATGTCCAATGCTGCCTTCTCAAACGCTGCCTTAGGGGGAGGCAGCTCCTGTATGCAAATAAAAAAGCTTGCTTTAATTGCTTGCTTTAATTAATTTGGCCATGATGATTTGGATCGATGGTCTTTTTCGTATCTTTGGCTTGAAGTTTTTGGAATTAATAGGTTCCCCTGACCTTTTCAGGCTGTTATGAGGTGATTTTTCTGATTTTCAGTCTTTATGAGGTCATTCACTCCAAAACAAGGCTGGTCTGACCAGACTTTACACAGGGACGACGCATTCCTGGTCTCCATGACAACGCACTCTGAATTTCCGGATCGGGGAGGATGGCCTCAGTCTGCGCATGTGTATAGCCAGCCGGCGTTTGAATCCAGAGGCTTCCGTAGGGCCCAGCATGGCGGCCGCACTATTGCGAGAGTTGGGTAAGGCTTAAGGCTTTCTTACAATTTGGGAAGGAAATACTGAGACTCAAAGTTGACAGCTTATATTCCTGTTGCAGGTGCATTGTGGGTACCAACCCTGAGGATCTGGGCAACGCAGACGCTGCGGTAAGTGTCCTGCCGTGAATATTCTAGCAGGCTGCGCCTGGTCTGCGTCCCTCACTGTGTACTTGTGTGCAAACCAGTGCTTTAGGCCTCAGGTGAAGGGCAGTCCTGCCCAAAGTGCTTTGTAACCCCGTGAGGACTGTTGCCTCCGAGGGCTCTTCTCAGTGTTTTTGAACAGCCTTTCCCTATTCCATAGGCACGATCCGACTCTTCGACGTTGTGTGGTATGCTAACAAACATTCCTCTGTTTACTTACCGTGCATTCAGTGCTAGGAAACAAGCGTTCCTGTGCAGTTGAGTTAGCACTTGCATGGATCCATAGGGTACATAGGAATTTTCGATTCCATATTTAGTACTTGCAAATGAATTGCTTCGTTTGGAGTAATATTTTGATTTAATATAATTATAGTAGTTTGGTATTTGCTTGATTCCGTTTAAGACCCATTTCAGTTTGTTTTGTTTTTTGGTTTTGGTTTTTTCAAGACAGAGTTTCTCTGTGTAGCCCTGGCTGTCCTGGAACTCACTCTGTAGACCAGGCTGCCTTCGAACTCAGAAACCTGCCTGCCTCTGCCTCCCAAGTGCTGGGACTAAAGGCGTGCGCCACCACTGCCCGGCTCCATTTCAGTCTTGAGTATTCATAAAATCTGTAAGTTATTCATGAAACTTTGTCACTATTAATTCATGGTATACTTAATTTACTAAACATCATATTAATTGCCCAATCTGTATTAAGGTTTTGAGAAATGCAAGGCAGTGCTTAATACTGGATGACAGTATGTCCCTCACTCTGAAGAAATCTTGTTTAATAGTTTATCATAATGGTTTCTTAGAAGGATTGAAGTCAGAGCTGAGCAGCTCATGGGTCTGTCATCCTGCTCTGAGTGATGATATAAAATGGTGTTAGAGGCCTTAGAGACATTGCCTCTTTCCTCTTTCTTACATATATGAAAACCAAGGCCCAATGGAGGACAGTGTGCCCTCTGGCTTTGACTGTGTAGAAATGAAAACTCCCATGATTCAAACTGGAGAGGAAAGTTTGAAGGTCTAGAGATCACAGGCACGTTTGGAGGGGAGACAAGACATAACTGTTCAGTGGATCTCATTTTCAATAACACTGGCCATCAGTGCTATGCTGTGTTGGATACTGCAGGGTGTGAAGTATTGATTAGTTTTCCAACAACAGAATGAAGCCCATTTTGCTCTCATACTACATATAATTATATCTGAAATTTATTGAGAGTCCTAAGTGCTGGATTAAGGATTTTACTAAATATCTTATTTGTGCTATTTTGCTATGTCCTTAAATATATTTTAAGGTTTAGATATCAAAGATGATACCATGAAGGTATTATCTTTACTAATACTTGGGTTGTCCCATTTTGATCTGTGGGGTTGTCCATAGGTGGCTCTTTCATGGGCTTCAGTGGTCTAGCTTGCTTGGTTTGTGATCTGGAAAACTATATCTTGCTTCCCTTGCATACTTTCTGCTTTGGATCTTGTGGACAGCCATTTCCTTCAGAAGTTTGGTTCTTTTTTAGTAGGAAATATTCAAGAACATAATCTTCAGACTAGAGTGGTCATTACTTCCAGTTGGGTCACTGTTTCTAGGCTTCATTTAGTATAGGAAATTTCAGTTTTCTTATTATGTAGATATCTGCTAAGACCCTCAGTTGTCAGTGACACTGAGAAATAGAATTATAGATAAAAGATAGATATAATCACGGGGTCTGGAGAGATGGCTCAGCCATTACTCCACTGGTTGTTCTCCCAGAGGCTCTGGGTCCAATTCCCAGAACTACAAGTTGGCTAACAACTGTCTGTAACCCCAGTTCCAGGGCATCCAATGCTCTGTTGTCTCCTCCAAGAGTAATGCATATCCATGGTGCAGATGTCCTTACAAGCAAAATACCCAAATGCATACAATAAAAGTAAGTCTTTATAACATATAAATAAGAAACTGGGGTTGGTGGTGCATATCTTTGATTCCAGCATTTGAGATGTAGAGGCAGGTGGATGTCTGTATGCCAGCCTAGTCTATAGAGAGCTCTAGGACAGCCAGGATTACATAGAGAGAACCTATCTCAAAAAAGCCACACACAAAATTAAAATATATAAATAATAAAATAATCACTCATTTTTCTTACCTCAACAATGGATTTTCAACTGAAGGAAGACATGAGCATCCTTGTTTCAGAAGGGGCTCCATGCAGTGCTCAAGCATAGAAAGAGGGGTTGCACTTTGGTGAGGTGATGGGAGAGGCTACTGTAGTTGTGGCAGACAGCAGTCTTGAACTAGGGTGGTAGCAGTAGGAAGGAGATGAGGCTAAGCATTTGAGAGAGTTCTTGGTAGCATCAATAATACTTGGTGACTGGCTCTGATGGAGAAGTTGAAGATGCACAGTAGAACATCCAAGAAAGGTTTATTTAATGATGTCATGCTACTGGGGAAGACAGGAGGATAAACTGGACATTTGGGTTGTGGAGGCCATGGAGTAGTGGATTTAAGGTCTTCATCACCAAGTCCTAGACTGTTAACCAGCATTAACAGAAGTCTTTTCAACCCCCACTTACCTCTCTGATGGCTTCCAATACTTGACATTCGCTGACAGCATCGACCTCTCCTGAGAACAGCCCACAGTTCTCAGTTCTGTCCCTTTGCGCAGGTGATAAAGGCCTCTGCTGTCTGTGGGAGTCCGTGTCTTCATCTTTTGCGAGGTGAATTTTTTTTTAAGAGCTATCTATCCATATGTGGTGGCATACACCTTTCATCCCAGCACTTGGGATGCAGAGGTGGCAGATCTCTGTGATTTTGAGGCTAGCCTGGTCTACATAGTGAGTTTCAGGACAGCCAGGGTTACATGGTGAGACCCTGTCTCAAATCCACCCCCTCTAAAAAAGTTTCAAAGCCACTCTGCCGTCCTCTGCTGCCTTTCCTGTGCTTTAGATGTACATTGCCTTCTGGTTCTCTTACTTATTTGTTTGTGTATTCAGCAAGGCTGGGTAACTGCACAGGTCAGATAAAGAGTAAGTTCATTGTATCCTCTTTCAATCTTTTTTTAGACTAAGCTGACTTACTGCAGAGAGTCAGCATTCACCAGTCAGTCAGGACAGAGTGTGGGCTAATACCAGCTCCCATTTGCCTTACACGAGTTGCTAGCCTTCACTTTTAGCCTCCAGTAAACCAGCTTTGTAGTGTCCAGATAATGCATTCTGTTAGTGAACTTCTGATTGAGAGCCTGAAGTTGTCAGTGGGGTGGTGATGTGGCTCCCGGAACTGCAGACAAGTTCCAAGGTTTCTGTTGTCTTATGGGCTTCCTTCCTTTCAGAGTTTTACCACAGTCATGTATCCACACAAGTGCTTCTCTTGACATTTCTCGAAAATGGGAGAAGAAGAATAAGATTGTTTACCCACCTCAACTCCCTGGTGAACCTCGGAGACCAGCAGTAAGTTTATAGGTAGAAGTAATCCCCTAATTTTTAAATTTATTTTTATTTTCTTGTAAGTCAGGTCTTATGCTGATTTTGAATTCAACACTTAGCACAGGCTGGTTTTGAACTCCCAGAACTCTGCCTGCCTCTGCCTCCCAAGTACCAGGATTGATGGTGTGTACCACCATGCCCTGCCTGACCAGTACTTGTGCTCTTATGTGCCAAGCAGTGAGTTTTTTGTTCCTGGTTAAAGGGGCATTGCGAATTAATTTACGTATCCTAATTAACTGACCTAAGCATACCAGCTTGCCTCTGGATCTTAGGTCGCCTGTGCTGTGGCTTGTTTGCTGGCCTTCACCTAGCCTCCGAAACTGACCTAAGGCCTTGAGATGCTGATTTTGAGCACAGGAGGCTTGTGGGTGACGTCATCGTCATCATCGTGTATCCGTGGTCGGTCTCTCTGTATGGACCAGGCTGCCCTCAAACTCACAGAGACCTGCCTGCCTCTGCATCCTGAGTGCTGGGATTGAAGTTGCCTGCCAGCACACCCAGCTGATAACAATGATAGTGACGAATAATGAGTTGGAAAATATTGCTTTAAACATTGTGTATTTTAGTTTAGGCACAATTACGTTTTTTTTGTTGTTGTTGGTTTTTTTTGTTTTTTGTTTTTTGTTTTTTTGTTTTTCGAGACAGGGTTTCTCTGTGTAGCCCTGGCTGTCCTAGAACTCGCTCTGAAGACCAGGCTGGCCTCAAACTCTTGAACTCAGAAATCTGCCTGCCTCTGCCTCCCAAGTGCTGGGATTAAAGGCGTGTGCCACTACCGCCCGGCTTGTTTCTTTTTCTAATGTACAAACCGTTAAACTTCAGGTTTGTATTGAATCATTGGAAGCCTACCAAAGACGTATCTTTTTTTTTTTTTAGCTGCTCAGTAATAAAATCACTATATTGCATACTTAAGATTGTCAGAAGTTATTCTAGTGATATGTAAAGCAAAGTCCAGCTTGAAGTGAATTTATGGAGGCATGCATACACAACTGCTAAAAGGCTTGGGAGCTACATGTGAGCGCTACTCTATCCAGTGTATGCAGTGCTACGGCTCAAAGCCAGGCAAACATTCTAACAGCTGAGCTACAACTCCAACCATCTATTTAAAAAAGACTTTTAGTTAAAAATATTTTTAAAAAAAAAATTTTTTTTAAGTGGTGAGAGGGCCAATAGTGGGAAGAAGGTGGACTTTTAGAGTCTGCAGGGAACTTTGGGAGTGTCTTAGTTAGGGTTTCCATGTCTGTGAAGAGACACCATGACCATGACAACTCTCTTTTTTTCTTTTTTAATTTATTTTATATATATGAGTATACTATTGCTTTTTTCAGACATACCAGAAGAGGACATCAGACCCCATAAAAGATGGTTGTGAGCCACCGTGTGGTTGCCGGGAATTGAACTCTGGACCTCTGGAAGAAGAGTTGGTGCTATTAACCGCTGAGCCATCTCTCCAGCCCCCCATGACAACTCTTGAAAAGGAAAATATTTAACTGGGCCTAGCTTACAGCTCATAGGTTTAGTCCATTATTGCCATGGTGGGCAGCATGGTGGCATGCAGGCAGGCATGGTGTGGAAGAGGAAGCTGAGAGTTTTCTATCCAGATCTGCAGACACTAGAGAAAGTAGTACTGGCTCTGACCTGAGCTTCTGAAACCTCAAAGCCCACCTGCAATGACACACTCTCTCCACCAAGGCCACATGCACTCTAACAAGACCGCATCATGTCCCAAGCCTTTCAAGTCATGATGCTCTCTGTCAGCCTATGGGGGCCATTTTCATTCAAACCACCACAGGAGGCACCCATGCTGGACCTGGGTCTCTCCCATGCCTGGCTGTTATCTCTGCTCACAGGTTAAAACTACTTGGTTTGTAAATTTCAGTTTACAAAAGGATTATAAGATGACTCCTTTCCCAACTGAACTTACTAAAAAGTGCTTTGTGAATTGTGAATTATTCAATATCTACTTGGTTAAAAAAAATATAGTTTTAGGGCTAGAGAGGTGGCTCAGTGGTTAAGAACACTTGTTCTTGCAGAGGGCCTGAGTTCAATTCCCAGCACCCATATGTAATTTCAGTTCCAGGGGAACTAGTGACTTCTGATCTCCAAGGGCACTAGGTATGCACCTGATGCACATTTATGCAGACAAAACATTCATACATATAAAGTAAATAAATTTGAAAAGATTATAGTTTCTGTTTCTTACTAATCTTTTTTTTTTTTTAACATAATGAGACTTTGAAAAAAGGCAAATTTGTCTAAAGAGTCTCTAGAATCTTTGTTGTGTTTTTTTATTTCCTGTGACAAATTTTGTCTTTGGGCATAGAGTATGGGAACTAATAGCTATGCCACTGTCACTTTGATGAACCTGCTGTAAAATGTTTTTCTTTTTTTCCTACTTGCAAGGAAATTTACCATTGTCGGAGACAAATAAAATACAGCAAGGACAAGATGTGGTACCTGGCAAAGATGGTAAGCTAACATGACTATTCCCATGTGATACCCAGGAGAAGAAGCTGTGGGTTCCTCCTGAGGACTAGAAGATGAATGGTTATTATCTCAATTTCCCAAGAATTAGGGAGTGCCATTGTATGTTCAGTGACCAGCAGTTTATCAACAGAGACACTAAATCACAGTGGATACCTAGACTTGAAGCCAGGGCAGCAGAATTGCCAACAGCCAGAGGACCCAGGGCGTCTGCTTGCCTACCTGTAGTAGTTTTAATATCATGGCACAGTAGGTTCTTAAGTGTTTATCATGGTGAAGAAGGGAGAGAAAACCCAGGACACTTGCTTACTTACCTGTACAAAGAGGTTTAACCACAGGATACTGTTGGTTCTTGTGTATTCTTAGTGAGGAGTAGAGAGAAATGCAGCAGATACAGACTCATTTTGGTTTAACTCAACAGTTTCCAGAATTGTACTGTACGGCTCTTACTGTCACTGAAAGGGAATACTGCTTTTGAGTTTGTACATTCATCTGTGTCCCCCTTTAGATACGAGGCATGTCCATTGATCAGGCTTTGGCTCAGCTGGAGTTCAGTGATAAAAAGGGGGCTCAGATAATTAAAGAGGTAAGACTTGGGGGCTGGGAGGGATGGGCATGCAGCCATCTTTAAGCCTAGATCCTGGGTTCCTGGAGTTCGTGGTATACATGTATTTTCTTATGAGACGGAGACTTGTTGTTCCTGGTTTTATTACGTCTCTCTCACATCCTTTGTTCCTGAGAATTAGGTGCTTTTCACTCTTCACATGGGTCTCTGCAGGTGCCTTTACGTGCACCAGACACTTTTTTTTAAATTGTTGGTGGAATGATTAGAAGCCTTTTTTTTTTTTTTTTTAATGACTTAGGGCTTATTTTGAGGGTGGTAAGTTCTGAAGATAAAACTCAGGGCCTAGTGTATGCCAGGGAGGTACTCTACCAATAAGTTGCACTTCCATCCCAGACTTGGTATGGGTTTGTTTTTTGTTTTTCTTTTGTTGTTGTTGTTTTTTTTTTTTTTAAAGAGTCCTTTCTGTGGTTGGGGAGGCAACATCCACCATGAAAGGTTATGATTTTATGTGAGTGGTTAAGTGGAGGAAGCCGTGGCACCCACCCAGGAAGCTTGGAAGGGTGCTGTCTCTAATGCTTCTCTTGTGGTTGTGGGTTTGTATTTGTACATAGGTGGGCCCTAGGGTTGCCATCACCTCACTGGGTACAGTACTAATGTGCAGGCATGTGGCTGTTCCCTGACTCAGATTCAATGTTCTTTGCCAGTGGCATGGCCTAGCGGTGTGGGTTGTCCTCCCTTCCCGTACAGAGCCTCTAAGGCTCAGCAGGATCGATGGTGGCTCCTAATTCGTTTGAGGAAGGAATTCTTCATTTCCCTTGATACAACCAGCAATTGAAGTTCATTGTGGCGGGGTGTAGTTACAAATGCACTCTTGGAAGACAGAGGCAGGCCAATCTCTGTGAGTTCCAAGGCATCGAGAGCTGCAAAGTGATAACTTGTCTCAAAAAAAAAAAACCCAATAAATAAATAAACAAATAAACAAATAAAAGTTCATTGTGAAGTGTAGGCTTGAATAGGTATATTTTAGACAACAAAAAATGAGATATTTAATCCCACCTTAGTTCAGAATCAGCTATATGAGCTGGCTTCTCTTGTCATTTAAGGTTCTCTTAGAAGCACAAGACATGGCAGTGAGAGACCATAATGTGGAATTCAGATCCAATTTACACATAGGTAAGACGTTTTCCATCTTCAACATCTGGGATGTGTCTGGCATCTGAATACTTAGGCCAGTTGCCTGTTGGCAAGGACCTTCTGTAGCCTTTAGCCCCGCAGTGTCAGTATGTCATGAGTGGTAGACTTGCTAGCGTCTCACTGCTGTTCTGAATGGGGCTGAGGGCATGAAGTCTTGACACTGGTTATTACACAAGGGTTCTAGGAGCGGCTCGTGCTGCCACCCTTTACTCACGATAAATTGAGAATGGGCACAAATTACCTAAAAGATAGATTAATCTTTAATTGTAGTGCCTACACTTTAGTGCCTACACTTTAGTGCCAACACCTAGGAGGCACAAGCAGATGGCTCTCTGTGAGTTCCAGGCCAGTCTGGTCTACATATCAAGTTCTAGGACAGCTAGAGTTACATAGATTATTGGGGGCAGAGGGACGGTGGACAGAAAAGATAGACCAGTTGTCAAATGGAAGGCGTTGGATAAAGGTTCACATGTAAACTTTTAATTGTTTTAAAGACTTATGTATATGAGTGCTCTATCTGCATGCACGTCTGTATGCCAGGAGGGGCAGCAGACTCCGTTATAGTTGTTGTCAGCTACCACGTGCTGCTGGGAATTGAATTCAGGACCTTTAGAAGGACAGCCAATGTTCTTAACCTCTGAGACATTGCTCCAGCCCCTAAAGGTCATTTTATAATGTGCCTCTGTCATAAGAATGACTGAAATGTAGCCTTCTAGTAAGTAAGCAGGGCTGAAAGACCTGCTGATCTATACAGGAGAAACACAGGCAGACCAAAACCACTGAATCCTCCAATTAATGAGCAAGCAAATGAATTACATAATTCTTAGGAGAATAATATAAAATACATGAAAAAAAGTTCAACATCCTTAGCCAGGTTGGGCAGTGGGAGCCTTAAACACTCAGAAACTAAGAATAGACGGAGCACCTGGTGCAGCCGCACTATCCTGAGCACACACCCACAGGACTCTGATAGCACACCATAGACACTTGCACAGCCATGTTACTGGGGCACTGTTGAGAAGACCCAGGGTAGTACACAGGCACAGGCCATGGTGTGCGCCGTAGATGGGGTCAGAAGACAGTTCTGTGGAGTCACATTGCTTCACACCTTTATGTGGATTCCAAGGGCAAACTCATGTGGTGAGGTTTGCGTGGCAGCTGCTTTGTGAGTGAGCTGTTTGCAGTCCCATTCCAGCCTTATCTACCTGGGTGCTGGGGATTTGCCTGTAGGACCACATAGAGTGTCCTCCATGCTCATCTCACCTCTTGTCTGTGTGCCTCTTAAACATGCTCAGTGTCAGTGTGCCCCATCATCTGCCTAAGCAAGCCAGTGTGCTTGCATTGGGAACAGAGATGGGGAGATTCTGGTCTCAGGTCAGGTTTCTCTCTCTCTGGGATGACTCTTTTATTTTTATTTCTGAGACTTAGTCTCATGTGGCTAAGACTGGCCTCAAACTTGCAGTATACTTAAGGATGACTTTGAAATCCTGATTCTCCTACCTCTGCTTCCTGGATTACAGGTACAAGTACCATGCCTAGTCTCAGGGATGCCTCTTGGAATCTCTTCCATCCTGTCAGCCTTAGTCAGATTTGTTTGATTCATGAAACTTGCTGTTTCTGTCTTTCTGTCCAGCATAATGTGGCGGTGGGTCCATGCCTCACCTAGAGCAGTGCATGGTTGCTAGTTAGTGCTCAAGAGACGTGTGTTTGAGAGGATTGTGTGCTAGCCAACCACCAAGCTTCTGGACTCTTAGGATCTACTAAAAGATAGATGAGTCAGGACCTGCTCAGCTGGTGCAGATGCAGTCCTATGGATAGCAGACATTTCCCATAATTCTCTTTCCTTCCTCTGTAGCTGAGTCTACCTCAGGTCGAGGCCAGTGCCTGAAGCGCATCCGTTACCATGGCCGAGGTCGCTTTGGCATCATGGAGAAGGTCTATTGCCACTATTTTGTGAAGCTGGTGGAAGGACCCCCACCCCGACCTGAAGCACCCAAGACAGCAGTTGACCACGCCAAGGAGTATATTCAGCAGCTTCGCAGCCGGACCATCATCCATACTCTATGAGATCTATGCTGGTCATTCTGGCTCCACAGTGTATATATTTTACATTTACTTTAAAAAGTAAAAACAAATGATTTTTATGCTTTTGCATTGAATTATTGAAGTGTAGTATATAACTGCAAAGTTCTGTGTGTGTGTGTGTGTGTGTGTTAGGTATCCTAGTGTGCATGTGCATGTGCAGAGGCCAGAAGAGTTTTCAAAAGGACTTGAAGCCACCTTACCACTGCATTCTAAAATCAGACAGTAGGTGGCACTCTCCTCATGGCAACAATCAGATACCAAAGTACTACTGTGACTCTCATAGATAGTGCCCTTCCTCCCACCCTCCCTCTTTCCCTGACAAATGGCATTGACGTTTTTGGTGTGGATTGCTTGAATCTGTATGTTGCTCATAGTAGGAACTTTAACCAACATCCTCAGTTCCAGGCTCTTCCTATTTTGTTGTTGTATTTGTTTTTGGATTTTTGAGACAGGATTTCTCTAGGTGGCCCTGGCTGTCCTGGAACTTGCCATACTTCTTAATTCTTCCAAAACAGTTCAACTAGCTGGGGATCAAATATATATATGAGCCTATGGGGACATTCTTATTCAAACTACCATAATTTTTTTTCCATTTAATTTTATTTATGTGTGTAGGTGTTTTGCCTGTATATGTGTCTGTACACTGTGCAGTGCTGCAGAAATCAGAAGAGGGCTTTAGATCTCTTAGTTACAGGCTGTTGTCAGCTATCATGTGGGTGCTGGGAATTCAACCTGGGTCCTCCTCAAGAGCAGCAAGTGCTCTTAACTGCTGTGCTTTCTCTCTAGCATGTATATTCTTGACATAGCTTGACAAAGGTGCAAGAAACAGGGAGAAATGACAGGTACTGTGTGTGTATGCATACACAGAGGGATAAAATGTCCGTCTCTCTGCCTCTGCAAATCACAGCTCAGAATGGATCAAAGACCCAAGTACAGCTAGAAATGGGGAGGAAGAGAAAACAAAGTTCCAGACGCTGGTCAGAAAGAGTCCACACATGGCTTCTGTCGAGCTGACAGTGTCCAAGCAGCAGAGGCCGCTGGGGGAGCAGAGCCTCCAATGAGATTAAAGGGCAGGATCCACATCCACAAGAGCTGGACAGAATGCAATTTCAGCCCATTGAGGAATTGAGTACCTTTAATCCCAGCACTCAGGAGCCAGAGGCAAGTGGGCCTCTGTGAGTTTGAGGCCAGCCTGGTCTACATATTGAGTTCTAGGCTAACCAGGACTACACTCTGTCTCAAAAACAAAACAAAAAAACCCAATGTTTAAAATAAGCAGATGATGTGAGTATCCCTTTGGGAAATAAATACCAGTAGCCCAGGGATAGATGAGACCCAGTGTCGTTAGGACTGCCCTTGGGTCCAACCCTGTCGCTCGTGGGGTGTCCGGACATGATAACTCGCACTGTTCTTACTTGCAGAGAAGAGGAGACCACTTTTCACGTAGGAACCAGAAAGGACAAGATCCTGTTTACAGCAAAGTGGGTGGACTCGAAAGAGCCTGTGTTTGGTAATGAGACTGTGATGAAGTGCACTGTCGCACATGAGGAAACAAGAAGAAGTGAGAGTGGCCACGGGAGGGGGTGCACTGGCCTGGGCGCACCCTGTCATTAAGTATGGAGATGCCATACCGAACGCTGGGCAAATGAAGACACAGTGGCAGTGGCACTAAATGTGATTCTTGTGATTTATAACACACATGCACACAATGTCAGGAAGCCACTGTTCGATTAGAATATGCTAGCGCAATCATCAGGAAAACATGTACAATTGATATGTGTCAATGAGATGAAAAAAAAAAAATCAATGGATTCTTTTTAAAAAAATCTCGATGGCAGTCCGTGTTTAAGAAGTGCAGGGCTGTGGGGCTGCTGAGTGCCAGGCACCTGGATGCTGAGCTGCTGAGGGTGGAGCAGGCCTGCGCAGCCTGCTCTGAGGGCTCTGAGCCCCGCCTCTCCTGCACGCAAGACTCACGTCCCACAGGTGTTTTTAAGTGCGTTCTCTCGGTCTGGTCAGGAAGAGGACTACTTTAGGAATTTGACCCGGGATTGCTATGTTGATGATGGATTAAATAAAGAGGTAAAAGGGACTCAGAAGAAAGTCTGGTTCTCCAAGTAGAAAGTCAGAAAACTACTGCAACTTAGGTAAGATTGAAAATAACGACCTGCCGGAGCTGAGGGCTTGGGGCTTCCTGCCACAAGCTGTAAACCGGAAGAGCCTTGCTGTGGTGCTGGGGCTCTCAGAAAAAGCCTCCAGGGTGGCCTGACCCTTTCTGACGCTCTCAGTGAGACTGCCTGGCCTGTGTGAAGTCTGTAGTTTCCTTGGTTAAAGGTTTTTTTGGGCAGGGGGTGGCTTTTCTTTTTTTTTTTTCTGATTTTAAAATTATTTTTGTTGAAGAGTTTGCCTATTTTGTCTCCAAGTTTGCCAGCATACAACTATGTGAATATCCTGTTTGCAGTAGTCAGGATAATGCAACACACCCTTCCTTCACAAGACCTTTGTATCCTCATCCCCAGAATACTGAATGCCCTAGGAATGTGCAAGGTCACAAAGGATATGCAAACCTACCAATGATGCTAACATGCACGGTGTGTGCACGTTAGGAGAGTTGTCCAGTTTTTCTAGTGATGATAGTTTTCAAACCGGAAGAGGGAGGAGGAAAAATTGGACGGAGGCGTAGTCACTGAGGAGTGGTCAGAGATGGGCAGTTTTCCTGGCTTTGAAGAGAACCAAGGAATCGGAAAAGCTTCTAGAACTAGCAAAACAAAAACATTCTCCCATGGTCTCTAGAAAACAATACAGCAGATGTCTTTTTTCTTTCTTTCTTCCTCCCCTGCCCACTTCCTTTCTTTCTTGAGATGGTCTCATGTGGCCCAGACTAACCTTGAATTACCTTGACCTTGATCTTCCTGCCTCCTCCTCCCAAGTGCTGGAATTATAGGTGTGAGCCACTGTGTCCATTTTGTGCAGTACTGGAGATAAAACAATGGCTTTATGGATGTCAGGCAAGCACTTACCTGCTGGGCTACATTCTCAGGCCAGCCCTGCAGATGTCTTGATTTTAGCCTGCTGGAACTCTTTCTGAACTTCTTAACTGCAGCACCATGACGGGGGTTGCACTATCCAGACTGTTACGGCAGCCACAGGCTGTTCAATGTTTAATATAATGATATTGCTTTTATTTCAATATTGGAAATTTTTCTTTTTCTGGATTAACGTAACTCAACAGGGTCTATCCCCCTCTCCCATTTAGAGAACCCGTGTGTTACTGGTATGTAGTAGGCAGATGCTGAGGATGCTCCTAGATACCCTGACAGCTCCTCTCCCAATGTGTGTCACCTGTGTAGGGGAAGGAACCTAGAGACAGGAACCTGGCATAATCCCTGGATTATAAAGCTCAGTGGAGCCTTGTGAGTGATGAAGGTACCAATATTCTTGGAGGAGTATGTACCCTAATTCCAGGGAGGAAGAGAAGGATGCTCTGTGCTCCTTCCTAGATCTGCCGTCTATATTCTCTTTGCAATAAAACCAAAGTTGTAAATCTAACACTTTCTGAGTATCAAGAACAAGTCTAGCAAATTGCTGAGTCTGAGCAAACATTTATTTTTATTTCCTATGTGGGATCTCAGGGTTTGCTGGGAGCCCATAGTGAGTTAATGAGAAAACTCAGAGAGTTTCAGAAAGTCTGCACCCAGGTCAGGGGCTGTAAAGTATACTACATCATTATATTATCCCCGCCGGGTGGTGGTGGCATACGCCTTTAATCCCAGCACTTGGGGAGGCAGAGGCAGGCAGATTTCTGAGTTCAAGGCCAGCCTGGTCTACAGAGTGAGTTCCAGGACAGCCAGGGCTACAAGAGAAACCCTATCTTGAAAAACATATACATATACATATACACATACATATATATATATGTAATCCCCATGGAGACTAGTTGTGCAGAAGGGGAAGCAAGGCCTTGAGTGGGTTTGTGGGCTCTGGGTTCTGGCTCAGCTCTTTGATGGCATGAATACAATCTTGGGTTAAATGAAACTTCCCCTCCTCAGTCACTCCTGCCTGGATCCCTGCACCCTCTCCTCTATACCATGCCAAAAGCATGTTGACCGATGCAACCTTTGGTCCCACTGGCTTTCGGTTTCTATGCCTAGAAATTTCTATGTTACAAAAAATCTACTTTCAATTTCATGTTTCTGGAAGTTCCTATTCTGCATTGCATTGTTAGACTGTTCTCCTCCCTCTGTTGGCTAGATTCCTGTGAGGGCAGGGCAGCAGCTAGGGATAAGTCTCAGAGCTCTTCATACACGGCTCAGTCTCTTCTGTGGTAGTCACACTGCGCAGCACTCTTGGACTTCCAAGCAGCAAAGACGGATCTGAACACGTCTGTGTGCACCTGCTGTGCCTGCTGCAGAGGGAAGCTCTTCGCTGGACTCCACTCTTCCACCGGAAATCTCTTTACCTCAAAGGAACTGGTGAGGGAGATGATATACATGTTTTTAAAAATTAATATAGGTCTACAAACCGGATTGTAGGCTGGAGGTCTGGGGGTGGAACTGCGGGCATGCTTGGTGTGGTTGGAGTGTCATGGGCTTAGGCCGAGAGGCAGGATGGGTGGAAGACAGCTAAAAGGCATTCAGAGAGCTTAATATCTGGGATATTTTTAAGAAGCAGTCATTTGCAGGCTATGGAGAAGACAGGGGTGTTGATGGGTAGGGATCGTATTAGAGATCGCCTGACACCAGACACCACCTGTCTAATATCCAAACACCTTTTGCTTGGAAGACAAGGAACATTATTTAAGCACAAACTCTGGAGTCCATGTGTCTTCATGAACTCTGATTCCTTCACCAAACTATGGGCTTGTCCCTGGCCTCTTCAAAGAACTCTGAGCTCAGAGGGCCAAACCTCAGCCTTGGATCCCAGCACTGATCTTAGTCAACAGTAGGACTCCCTCCTGCATGTGTCTTAACTTTTCAGTTTCTTTGATCCTTAATTTTAAGGTGGAAAAAGCTGGGGGTACAACTCAGTGCTAGGATACTTGCTTAGCATGCACAAGGCCATGGGTTCAATCCTTAGTACTCTACCAAAAACTGTGCTTAATTTTAAGGTGAACATCATTACACCATGCTTGCACGGTTATCGGGATGAAGTGAAACAGTGTGTAGAGAAGCACACTTGAGGTTCATAGGACACATTCCCAGCATTCCCTCTCGTTTTACCCTGGCCTCTCCTCAGTGGATAGATGCATTCTCAATGGTTAGAGGACAAGGTTCTGGGAGTCTACCCTTTTTATACCCAGACACGCTCATTCTAAGACTTAGCACATATACTCAGAGTTGCCACATGGTGGGATGCTGTCGGCACATGTCAGATGCCTAAGAATTCTCTGTCTGCTATGTGTGTGTCTGCGTGTGCATGTGTGTGTGTGTCTACCCAGGAGTATGTGTGTGGATATTCATGCTGGATACTCACAGATATTCATGGTGTCCCAACTCCCTCACCTATCCAGTGACAGGCCAGATGTCTCTAGTTCTGCTAAGGAGAATTTTTGCCATCCCTGATCCTACACACACCAAATCAGATCTGTATACCTGCTCAGATGAATTCTTCCCCAAATTACCCTTTTCCTTTCTTCTCTTTCTGTAACAGGTGACTGCCAGGGAGGCCCCAGTGAAGGTACCTGCTCCCTCACTGTAGCCAGAGAGCTTCTTTCTGCCTGTCCTCTGCCCAAACATCTCTTCTGACCTGGGGGGGTCTGGTTTCCTTATCTCACAAATTTCCCTCTCTCTATGAGGTTCAGTATAGAGGATTTGCATCTCTTTCATTATGTTTCGTCCCGGGTGTGTGATTTCTTCTTGTGTCCTATGTCAAAATCTTCTGTGTCCTGAGAAGTTCATGTGAGTTCCAAAGTGACAGAAGAATCTTCTTGATGTGACTGGCAAATGTCCTCCTCAACCCCTTCATGTATCATTCACACTGTCTCTTCTACCTGTGACACATTCTGCAGCGGTGAGTCCCCCTAGGTGACTTCCTAGCATGTATTTGAACTTCTTTATACACAAGATGGAACGGGGTAAGGAGTGGGGTCTCAGGCGGACTGACTCTTAGAAAATCCCACTGAAAAAAAAATAAAATAAAATAAAAAAATAAATAAAAAGAAAATCCCACTGAGGGACAAGGTGACTCAGTAGGTGAAGGCACTGGACTCAGCCTGATGGCTTGAATTCCATCTCCAGGCCCCACATGGTAGAGGGAGAGAACCGACTCTCACAAGTTATTTTACCCCTGCATGTGCACCCCACACTCCCACACAAATAAAATGTAATTTAAAAGAATTTCATTAAATATCCCAAAGAGTGATTGTCTTTTCTTTAGCGTTTGGTGGGGTTTTTCTTTTCTTTTTAATTAAGATTTTACTCTTTAAGGGAAGCTTTAGTTTCACAGAGGAAAAAGAAAAGGTAGTGACTTATATTGCCACCCTACCCATGCACGGTCTTTATCACCCAACACTGGCATCCCCCACCATTATGGTGAACTGTCTCTGACACATTATGCTCAGACAAGGCCTAAAGACAGTTTCTTCCAGGTTGTATCCATCCAAGATGCATCTCAGCACACACCCAGTTATGGTGTCACACGAGTATTCCCACTGCCCTCCACTCTGCCTTTTCACTCAGTCTCCACAATGCATGGCAACCACTGACTTGATTTTTTCCATTACTTTGCCGTGTACAGAGAGTCACTCAACATGTGTGACGTGCTGTGGGAGTCATGTTGCCTCTGAGGTGGCGTCTTCCACTCAGTCTTTTAGTGGCTTACAGTTAGCTCTTGTATTTCCGAACAGTGTGTGGTCGTCTTGGCAATCCTGTAGCTGTTTAGTTCATTTGTCAACCAAAGGGCTCCCTGGCTACTTCCAAGGTTTGTAATTATGTACAAATCCTCTGGAAACATTCAGTTGCAGGTTCGTGTGGGAACAAACGTATGAATGTCAAGAAGCATGTATGTTGACTGTGCTTAATTTAGTGCTAAAGAAGCTGCCGTGCAGTCTTCTAAAATGAGTGGTACATTTTATTTTTTCATTTTTATTTTAGTTTTTTTTTTTTTTTTTTAGGTAGTGTGCCTCTGGTTAACCCTGGCTGTCCTGGAACTCACTCTGTAGACCAGACCAACCTCAGACTCAGAGGTCCCCTTGTCTCCCAAGTGCTGGGATTAAAGGTGTGCGCCACCACATCCAGCTTTTGGTCCATTTTAAAAAGATGTTATTTGCTCTTCTTCTTTTTTTTTCACTTTTTCTTTTCTTTTTTTTGGAGGGGGGTTCAAGACAGGGAGAGTTTCTTTATGTGGCCTTGGTTGTCCTGGAACTCACTCTGTAGACCAAGCTAAACTCAAACTCAGAGGTCCCCCTGCCTCTCCCTCCCAAGTGCTACGATTAAAGGTGTGCACCAGCATCACCCAGTGCTGTTTGTTTTTAATTGTTTGGTTTCAAGAGTTATTTATGCATTTTTGGGTCACAGTCTTTTATTAGATGTGACCTTTGCAAATGTTTGCTCCCAATCTTGTCAGTGTCCTGGTACTACAGGCTTTTATAGAGAAGTAGTTGGGTTTATTTCTAAGATTTATTTCATTTTTTAATTCATGTGTATGTGTGTTTGACCTCATGTGGATATGTGCATGTGAGTGCAGATGCCCTCAGAGTCCAGAAGAGGGCGTCAGATCCCCTGCAGCTGTGATCACAGGTGGTTCGGCGCCACTTGATCTGGGTATTGGGAATTGAACTTGGTTCCATGTAAGAACAGCAAGCAACCTGAGCTGCTGAGTTATCTCTCCCGTGGGACTCTATTTTAACACTGTTGTGTTTGTTTACTCTTTCAGCAAACCCACACTGTCTTACTGTCTTACAACTTTATAGTAAGCTATGACTGTTATGAGTATGTGGTAGTGGGGATTGAACCTAGAACCCAGTGCAAGTTAGGGAAACTGTATGCCTCTGTGTTATACCCTCACTCTCCAGGATGTCTCAAAGTCAGGGACTGTCACAGCACAAATGGGCTGCAGTATGGTGGCATTTCTTCTTTGGCTTATTAGATGGTGCTGTGTTCCAACTTTTCTTTTTTTCAAAATAATTAAAATTTAAAAAGATGAAAAATGATGTAGTCTAGAAAGTTTGGCTAGAGAAATCAGATACTACAATTAATGAACAATCTCTTGATTGGAAGCAAAGCAGCCAAGCCCTAGAAATATCAATGAATTGAGCAGGGAAATGCTCTCAGTCCTAGCATAAGTTTGGAGAGCATCTTCTGCCCCACCTGCAGAGTTGAGTGCTTCTGTGATATCCTAACCTTTGACCTTCTTTTCCACTTCTGCCTTCCCTCCAGTGTCCTGTGTGCCCACAGCCATGGGTCAGTCTTCTTCTAAACCTGATACAAAGGCTCAGGGTATGGCCTCTAGCTTTAATGAATTCTTCAAGAATTTCAAGATGGAAAGTAAAATCATTTCTGAGGAGACCATCAAATCAATTCAGTCGCATATGCAAGGAGGAGACATACAGAAGGCAATTTCTATAATCACCTCTGCCTTGACAGACATTGAGAAAGCCCCCTTGAACATCGCTGTGACAGGGGAGACAGGGGCAGGAAAGTCCACTTTGATTAATGCCCTGCGGGGCATAGGACATGAAGAGACTGAAGCAGCTAAGATTGGAGCAGTGGAGACAACCATGGTTAGGCAGAAATACGCCCACCCTAAGTTCCCTAACGTCACCATCTGGGATCTCCCTGGGGTTGGGACAGATAACTTCAAACCAGAAGAATATCTGAAGGAAGTGAAGTTTCAGGAGTATGACTTTTTTCTTATCATCTCAGCTACTCGATTTAGAGAGAACGATGCCCAGCTGGCCAAAGCAATCAGAAAAATGAAAAAGAAATTCTATTTTGTGCGGACAAAAATTGACAGTGATTTGTGGAATGAGAAGAGAAGTAAACCCAAGTCCTTCAATAGGGAAGAACTCCTGAAGACGATCCAAAACAACTGTGTGAAGCAGCTGCAGAAAGCCGAGGTACCCTCCACTCATGTCTTCTTAATCTCCAGCATTGAGGTAGCACAGTTTGATTTTCCTAAACTGGAGTCCACCCTTTTGGAAGAGCTTCCAGCACAGAAGCGTCACATCTTCATGCAGTGCCTTCCTAACATTACTGAGACTGCTATTGATCGCAGGAGAGATGCCCTGAGACAGACGATCTGGCTGGAGGCTCTGAAGTTTGGGGCATCGGCCACCATCCCCATGATGTCGTTCTTCAGTGACGACATCGAGGAGCTTGAGAAGATCCTGACCCACTACAGGGCTTGCTTTGGACTGGATGAGGAGTCACTGGAAAACATGGCCAGGGAATGGTCCACGTCTGTGAAGGAGCTGGAGTCCACCATTAAGTCACCCCATTTGCTGTCAAGTGAGATGGATGAATCCGTGGCGGACAAGCTGGTGAAAATCATAGAGAAAATTTTTGCTGTCACCGGTGGATTCGTAGCCACTGGTCTTTACTTTAGAAAGAGTTACTATATGCAAAATTATTTTCTTGACACAGTGGCCGAGGATGCTAAAGTTCTACTTAAGAAGAGAGTCTTTCCGCAGGACAGTGTGGACTCTGAGTAAGGCTCTAAAGATGGAGAGAATGAGGCAGCTGACCTGGGACTCAGGTGACTTTAGTGTTTTCAGGGTGCTGGAGAGACGGCTGAGGGTGTTCCTGAAGCACCCTGGCCAGGCTGTGATATCCCTTAGACTTTGTGACCCTTGGGAAAATAGAGGGATCAGAATTATGCCACATGGTGGTTATGTCATTCCCAGCACCAGTCTTATACAATGTGCAAGTACAAACTTTCTGGGCACAGAGTTTTCAGAAATAATTTTCTTTGTGTTTAGACAGGATCTTACTATGGATCTCCTAGATCTCTTTCTCTACAGAAGTAGACCAGGCTGTCCTTGAACTCACACAGAAATCCTCCTGCCTCAGCCTGTTGAGTACTGTGATTAAAGGTATGCACTACCACACCTGGAAGAAATGACTTAAAAAAATACATATATCCACCACATGACTTGGCTTTGTGCTGCTCTGCTGAGAGCAGGCTGACTGACATCATGGTTGGTTTTTACGGTTGTCATATATACGGTTCATATAACAGAGTGTAACAGAAAACAATGGGGAAGCATCACCTGAGTCACAGTGTCTGCTGCATTTCTGCAGAGGTGCAATTACACAAGACAGGGATGTAGTCTGAGGTTTGCACACTGGAGAGTCCTCACGTGTTAACAGATAACACTTCGTACATGAATCGTGAGGATAGAAAATTAGAGGAAAGACACTAGTGATCAAAGAGGAAATCCCCCCAAAATACACAAGTTCCTTAATCATGTGTGAAGATACTCAGTCTCCCATCCAAAAGCCGAAATGTAAATTAGCAGCCATCCCAGGAAGTTGAATTTGCAAGTGAGATTGTAGATAAGCAATTTCTGCAGTGTTGACACAAAAATTATGACACAGCCCGTAATGTGGGTAGTGGTGTGACCTCTGAGGAAATTACACATGCAGTTACTCTTTGACACTCTTTAAACATTGCCTAACAGTGCAAACAGGTATATTATGTTTTTGGTTACTAGCTGTGGGACTTTAAGATTAATTGTGTCTAGGGACTGGAGAGATGGCTCAGAGGTTTAAGAGCACATACTATCCTCATATAGGACAAGAGTTTGGTTCTCCACACCTATGCCAGACAACTCACAATTCCCTAGAACTCTAGCCCGACAGGAATCTGATGCCCTCTTCTGGCCACCAAGGGCACCTGCACTCACAGTACATACTCCCACACAGACACACAGATACATAATTAAACATGAAAACAAATCCTTCAGAAACATGGACAAGCCTATAAACAATTCAAATGTTTGTTGATAGGGGGTGGGGCACCCAGGCTATTGCCTGACAACCAAACAGATGGTGGAGATAGCACCTATGTCTCTGTAGTCTCCTTCCTAGATGCAAATCACTAGACGTAGACACAGTGTGCCCAGTGAGTCACTGCTGATCTATGTAAAATCAAGATTAAAGTAAAATTTCCTACTTTTTACCTAAAGAATACAATTCAATTATTTTTAATAGAGATACAGTGCTGCACAGAGAAGCAGAATAAATGCTAGATTTACCGAATATATGACACAGCTGGGGCTATGCCAGGGGAAGTGGGACACAGCTTGAGACTGTTTCTGCTGAACAAGTGAACACGAGGCTGATTTGAGATTCACTTGTGTGACAACTGTGGGGAAACCAAACAGTTAGATAAAACCAGCGATGCCATAGTAAAGCTAAGAAGGCATGGTTAACTCTGAAATAGAGTAAAGAAACAGACAGGAAATCGGTGCGCACCACTCACTATCATGAGTGTTTAGCTTGCCTAACTTGTATAGATTATATTATAAAATAAAAGTTGAAGGGAGGGGCTGGATAGATAGCTCAAAGGTTTAAGAGCATTGACTGCTCTTTCAAGGGTCCCGAGTTCAATTCCCAGCAACCATATGGTGGCTCACAACCATTTGTAATGGGAATGGGATCCAATGCCCTCTCCTGGCATGCAGGAGTAGCAGGGGTACATGCAGCTAGAGCATTTAAAAAAATTTTTTTCTTTTAAAGTTGAAGGAAGGTCTTTTTATATTTCTTTTCTTCTCTTCTTCTTCTTCTACTTCTTCTACTTCTTCTACTTCTTCTACTTCTTCTACTTCTTCTACTTCTTCTACTTCTTCTTCTTCTTCTTTTGAGATAGGGTGTCATTGTGTAGTCCTGGCTGTCCTGGAACTCACTAGGTAGCCAGCCTTGGCCTCAAACTCACAGGCCTGCCTCTGCCTCCTGAGTGCTGAGATTAAAGCTGCCACTACCCTGGCAAAGGGAGGTTTTTCTTTGTATGAAATTTCCATCAATAATTTAGACTTTTCAGACCCCTGAATGGGGAAAAATGAAATAATATATTAAAAAGGACAGTATGTTGACCCAGCCCACAGGTCAGTCAACAGAGTCTAGCAAGAGGGAGAGTGGGGATAGAAGGGCAAGAGATGCAAAGAATGAAGAGAAGACAAAGAGTCTGTACAAGTCTCATTTATTGAAAGGAAATCCTGGGTATATATAAGCACAAGCAGGGGAACACAGCTGAAGACACTTTACCACGTGCACCCTGCAGCTGGAGGCACTAAACAACAAAACAAGATATGTGAGAAAAACAAGATGTTTA